CTGCAAATTATGGTGAATACAAATGGGGTGAATACCTTATGTCAAGGAGGTTCAGCAATTTCAAGAAGTTGGACAAGCCTGTGATTGAGGTTGCAGAATTTAAAAAGTCCAAATAAGCCACTCTTATAGAAGTTTGTAACGCTTTATGTTCTTGCTTGCTTGCTCTTGGTTTCCTTTCTGTGTTTCTACTCGTAAGTTTGTTCGAATAAGTGGCCTTTGATCCACAAACTATCTCTGTCCCAACTATTATTGAACTGTTATGTAAAAATAGCAATGAAATATGGTATTGGTATCATCCTATTGCATTAAGTTCGATAATATGCATTTCTCTCTCTAATTTGTCTCATACACATCTCTTTCTCTCATACACAATATGCATCTCTCATCTCTTCATACACAACATGCATATTTATCTCACACTCTCTCTCTCTTAAGGCGCTAATAATTCAAGAATCTTAAAATACGAAATGCTCTATTTAGAGGTGAAAGTTATCGGTCAACCTATTTTTTTAATTTGTTTTAAAATTGCCCCTTAGGCCAAGGACATATCTCACGTGAATCATTTAGCTAGTATTTTTAGGATTAAACAAGAAAACATAGTTATATTTCGACAAACATCTATTACTTGATATTCTGATAGACTGTTAATATTTCATTCAACAAAGCTAAATCGTTGGAAACTTTAAAAATAAGAGTTTAAAGAAATTGAACATTTTTTTTTCTGTTTTTTTAGGGCAATTGTCAATCCAAACCGATTTTCCGGACAACCACTTCGCCAGGCCCATCGAGAATTTCAAACATTGGTGGATGAATTATTCGACTTCGAGGTCCCAACCGTAGGCATAAGAGAGCTGTAAATTGTTTCATCGTACGGTATATGGGCTTGTTGAGCTTTAAATGTATTATATTTACAATGCACAATAGGCAAAGATAAAGAAATGACACGACACGGAAAGATAACGTGCTGCTGCGCCATACACATGATTAACTCCTCTTTCTTTTTTTGAAATTTTTTTCAAAATGGAAAAAGTTTATATAAGCTTGTAACGTTATAATGTAAAGCTACGGATGCACCTCAAAAATCCATCGAAAAAAGTCGTTTTAATGTTGAAAAACCCTTTGATTGATCAATTCGACGTAGAGATAAATGTCATGAAAAGATAAAAAGATTTCAAGTCTAAAAAATATATGCATTTTACAAGTCTAAAAAAATATGCATTTTTCAAGTCTAAAAAAATATGCATTTTCATATGTTTATAGATCTACTCGATTTTAACCTTTTTGAAATTTAAAATTTTATGATTAGAGATAAAAATAGATTTGGAGATAATCCTAAGAACATTTTACATCAAAATTATATATCATGATAAAATTTGAAGGCGTACGTTACCTCTACAGCTATGGATGCATCTGTATGCCAACTGCACCCTTTCAAAATCGTTCTCCAGTCTGAAGATGGAATCTTTGGTCCAAATTTTATTTTATTTTTTTTAATTTATTTTTGTTAAAAGGGCAATGCCCCCAAGCTTTAAGGTAGTACCCTACTTAAAACAAACTAAAAAAAATTTAAAATTCGGTTCTCGAATGTCCTTGGCCTAAGGGGCAATTTTAAAAAAAATTTAAAAAATAGGTTGACCGATAACTTTCACCTCTAAATAGAACATTTCGTATTTTAAGATTCTTGAATTATTAGCGCCTTAAGAGAGAGAGAGTGTGAGATAAATATGCATGTTGTGTATGAAGAGATGAGAGATGCATATTGTGTATGAGAGAAAGAGATGTTTATGAGATAAATTAGAGAGAGAAATGCATATTATCAACCTTAATGCAATAGGATGATACCAATACCATATTTCATTGCTATTTTACATAACAGTTCAATAATAGTTGGGACAGAGATAGTTTGTGGATCAAAGGCCACTTATTCGAACAAACTTACAAGTAGAAACACAGAAAGGAAACCAAGAGCAAGCAAGCAAGAACATAAAGCGTTACAAACTTCTATAAGAGTGGCTTATTTGGACTTTTTAAATTCTGCAACCTCAATCACAGGCTTGTCCAACTTCTTGAAATTGCTGAACCTCCTTGACATAAGGTATTCACCCCATTTGTATTCACCATAATTTGCAGTGTTTTTTTCATCAACCAGCTCCTCTAATGGCTTCACAATGGCATGGTAAGAAGGTACGGCCGCAAGGATGGCTGAGAACCTCTCGACATGGGAATCCAAGACCACTCTGTGGGTTACGCTATCATAAATGTCATTGCTCCATACCTGCGAAAGTTATAAAACATTCTCACTCCT